TTCTTTTCTCAGACCAAGATCAACATAACAGCTGTGTTGGATCCTGTGAAGAAACTGATCACAAATTTACAACACCTGTTTGACCTCTACCACAAGTACAGGTGTTATCTGACCTTTGCTCAGTTCTTAGCTGTAAGTAATTACCTGTATGACCTCTACCACAAGTACAGGTGTTATCTGACCTTTGCTCAGTTCTTAGCTGTAAGTAATTACCTGTATGACCTCGACAACAAGTACAGGTGTTATCTGACCTTTGCTCAGTTCTTAGCTGTAAGTAATCACCTGTATGACCTCTACCACAAGTACAGGTGTTATCTGACCTTTGCTCAGTTCTTAGCTGTAAGTAATTACCTGTATGACCTCGACAACAAGTACAGGTGTTATCTGACCTTTGCTCAGTTCTTAGCTGTAAGTAATCGCCTGTATAACCTTGACCACAAGTACAGGTGTTATCTGACCTTTTCTCAGTTCTTAGCTGTAAGTATTTACCTGTATGACCTTGACCACAAGTTCAGGTGTTATCTGACCATTTGCTCAGTTCTTATCTCTTTTTACAACACTTGAATCTGTAGCTTTCTGCTTTATCTGTCTGAATTTTCTCAAGCTGAGAGCTACAGTTCATCAGCAAACTGTCACCAATGATTTTATTTTTAATTTGAACTAAGATTTTAATAGATATTTACTGTATAAATAAATTTTGTTTTGGCTTTAGGAGACTACAGAGTCAGTGACCTTTAGGATGTTGGATAATGTGGTTGCCTTGGAGATGATTCAGACCCGCCTGACCCAGCAGATACGACCTTACATGCAGGAGCATCACCTGAAAGAGGACACAGTCTTCACTAAATATGTCAAGGTCAGATTTAGAGAGAGGACACAGTCTTCACTAAATATGTCAAGGTCAGATTTAGAAAGAGGACACAGTCTTCACTAAATATGTCAAGGTCAGATATAGAAAGAGCACAGTCTTTACTAAGTATGCCAAGGTCAGACATGGAATGAGGATACTATCTTTAGTAAATATGTCAAGGTCAGATATAGAAAGAGTGCACAGCCTCATAGATTGAAACAAAGAAATTATGTAAAACGTACAAGTTTGTTAATGCTAAAATATAGTTGCAAGAAATCATCCAATATACATGTAAAATTGAATTATTTTTTTCTGTAATGTTTATTTTTAATTATACAGTACATGTATATCCTTGGTTCCTAAAACAAGTTTTACTGTACTCGCTTTGGAAATGACGTGATTTTGATTTTATTTTCAGGACCTGTTGGAAAGGAGTATGGGACTGACCTCGTTTTATGGAGAAGCTCCATGGGAAGCCAAAGTGATAGCAGTCATTGGTTGTATTAAAGATCCCAGGGTAGGGACAAGAAATACTAAGTGATAGCGGTCATTGGTTGTATCAAAGATCCCAGGGTAGGAATATGAAATACTAAGTGATAGCAGTCATTGGTTGTATCAAAGACCCCAGGGTAGGGACACGAAAGGCCATACAGAACTCTAGTATTATATCCAGGCTTTATATAGTGGTACTATTGCTTCAGTAACTACATTTTATTTCTTTGTTACAGTCCAAGTGTGAAGCCATTCTGGAGACAATGAAGATGGCACGTATTCCTCTTTCAGCTCAGATAGAGAAACTGATACAGGAGGGCATGGAACTAGAACATCCCAAGTCAGTATATACTGTGTATCAACTTTATAACAGGATACACTGTGTATCAACTTTATAACACAGATGTTTTCTTTGGCTATTTTTTCATTAAAACATGACCCATGGTCATGACTATTGTCATGATTCTCATATGTATCTTTTTAAGAAGCTTGATTAGATTAGACTTGCACCAGGGACAGTTAGATTACTTTAGGTTTTCAAGACATTTCATCTTCATGGACACCTAAATATTGACAACCTTTTTGATATTTCTGCATTTATTCGTAATAAAAAGATAGTGAAGTTTTGATAATTTTCTGGGATTTTTTATAATGAGTATACAATATACATATAACTTGAGATAAAAACTACATGGCTCAAATAAAGTGTAACTTAGACAACATTTTTATTGAACAGAGCCACAGAGATACAGGAGCAATACAAGATGGTGACTGTCAGAAAACTGGTTCTCAAGTATGGAGTTAACCGGGTACCAGACAAACAGTCCAATGAGGTGTGCTTCTTTTATTTACATGTAATCACTTACAAACAATACAAATGTTCATTCAAAAACTTATTTTTCTTGATAATTATTTACAGGTTTTTAAAATAGATCTATTTGTAGGACCATTATTCACAAACATACAGTACAACATACAGTACACACATATATATAAAATCTTCATACAAAAATAAGTTTCTGGATAATTATCTAATAAATTTCTTTGTAGGACCTGATAAAGTACATCCTGGTCCAAGACAAGCCTGACTGTGTACAGGACGCCCTGAGTGTGATGGAGGCGTACGGTAACACCGAGTACCAACAGGAAATCTATCTCTTCAAGTGTAGACACCTCATACACATAATCAAGGCAAGATTACTATCTCTTCAAGTGTAGACACCTCATACACATAAACAAGGCAAGATTACTATCTCTTCAAGTGTAGACACCTCATACACATAAACAAGGCAAGATTACTATCTTTTCAAGTGTAGACATCTCATTTACAAAAACAACGCAAGATTACTATCTCTTCAAGTGTAGACATCTCATTCACAAAAACAAGGCAAGATTACTATCTCTTCAATTCTAAACATCTCATTCACAAATACAAGGTAAGATTACTATCTCTTCAAGTGTAGACACCTCATACACATAAACAAGGTAAGATTACTATCTCTTCAATTCTAAACATCTCATTCACAAAAACAAGGCAAGATTACTATCTCTTCAAGTGTAGACATCTCATTCACAAAAACAAGGCAAGATTACTATCTCTTCAATTCTAAACATCTCATTCACAAAAACAAGGTAAGATTACTATCTCTTCAAGTCTAGACATCTCATTCACAAAAACAAGGCAAGATTACTATCTCTTCAATTCTAAACATCTCATTCACAAATACAAGGTAAGATGACTATTTCTTCAAGTGTAGACATCTCATTCACAAAAACAAGGCAAGATTACTATCTCTTCAATTCTAAACATCTCATTCACAAATACAAGGTAAGATTACTATCTCTTCAAGGGTAGACATCTCATTCAAAAAAACAAGGCAAGATTACTATCTCTTCAAGTCTAAACATCTCATTCACAAATACAAGGTAAGATTACTATCTCTTCAAGTGTAGACATCTCATTCACAAAAACAAGGCAAGATTACTATCTCTTCAAGTCTAGACATCTCATTCACAAAAACAAGGTAAGATTACTATCTCTTCAATTCTAAACATCTCATTCACAAATACAAGGTAAGATGACTATCTCTTCAAGTGTTGACACATCATTCACAAAAACAAGGCAAGATTACTATCTCTTCAAGTCTAGACATCTCATTCACAAATACAAGGCAAGATTACTATCTCTTCAAGTGTAGACATCTCATTCACAAAAACAAGGCAAGATTACTATCTCTTCAAGTGTAGACATCTCATTCACAAAAACAAGGCAAGATTACTATCTCTTCAATTCTAAACATCTCATTCACAAATACAAAGTAAGATGACTATCTCTTCAAGTGTCGACATCTCATTCACAAATACAAGGCAAGATTACTATCTCTACAATTCTAAACATCTCATTCACAAATACAAGGTAAGATGACTATCTCTTCAAGTGTTGACACATCATTCACAAAAACAAGGCAAGATTACTATCTTCTGTGTAATAATTCTTCTAAAGTAACTTGGGTTTGAAATAATTTGACAGTTTTTAAATATATCTTACTAGATAGTGCTTTGTTTAGGTGGGAAATATACTAAAAACCTTATGATATTTTCTTAAACTACAAAAGAAATACAGTCAAAATTAGAAGAAACTAACTTTTTCAGAAGCATACATTATAAAACTTGTTTGAAGTTTTTCACATATTTTCTTTGGACATTCATTAATTTTATATGATTAAAGATATGCATTGATAATAAGACTGAAATATGTATTATTTAACACCAAATTTCTTAGTGCAGGATATTGATGCATCAGCTATATTACATACCCCTTTAATGAGATAGAGTACAATTCAGTAATACGTATTACTGCAGATACTTGATTTTTTTCACTTGATTATTTCTCCATTCAGCAACAAACAGATTGTCATTTGTATCTGTACACAGTCCCCAGGGATAACGCAGTCCACATTCTATGTAACGGAGGAACTGTCCGTCCTGGTCTATGATGTGGACACAGTGATTGATACAATCAGCTGTAAGGATGTGACTCTGACTGTCTGTGGTGATTCCTAGTGGACAGAATGGTTGATTCTGTGGAGCAGGAGTATGTCCAGTGTACCTGAATCTTAGTTTCCCGGCCTGATTGACCACCACTACTGCTTCCGCTCTCTCATCAGACACACAGATATCTAGGTTCCTGTTCTCAGTAATGTATCTAAGATAAAAAGAACTAGGTGAATAGAGAGGTTTACATTTATCATCAAATTGAATGGTTTGTTTCTCTGTGGAGCCAGAGTAACGGACAACTTTTGTTTGTTTGCTATCATCACTGTCCATGATAACAAGGAGGTCACCAGAGGAGGTACTACAGACACCGCGAGGTCTCCAGTTCTGTAGTCTGATCACCTCCTCTATCTTCTCATTCTTCACAATGTTCACAGTTCTATCATCAAAATCAGTATAAACTAGATCTCCACTTTTTGTCACTGCTATGTTTATTTGATTGTACCCTGAATTGGTTGTGATTGACTTGAGTTCTGATCCCTGATTGATGCTGTAGAGTTTCATGGTGTTGCTGTCTCCACTTGTCCAGATTTCTTCATCACTCAGACAGGCCACACTGATAAGGCTTCCATACCCAGTGTCTATGGTGGTGACAGTTTCTGGTTCATAAATTAAGCAACTGTTTGACTGGAGGAGAGGATCCAGCTTCTGGTGATTTCTGTGTTGTCTTCATGCTGAAGCCATGTTTCTTCGATGTTAAAGAACTTGATGATAAGGTTCCAAACAGTTTACTAAGTTTTTCTTCTTGAACATTTCCTGGACTGAATTTAGGTAAAGATGGAATGATTTTGTGTGGAAGATTTCTGTATTTTTGTATTTTAATTGTTACACTAAATAATTTTGACATGTCATTGGTGGCTGTTGCATTTTCCAATGAATCGATTTCATCCTTGATGTCAGAAATCTTCTTGTTTATTTCATCCAGATGTTTCTGTAGAGTTTGTAACTGTGTGTTTTTCATGACATCAACTTCAGCTTTAAGTTTCTTGACAAGTTTGTCAATTTCTCTGTGCCAGTTCTCTCCATGTTTTGTTATGGCTGTTGAGAGATCTTCATATTCCTTTTCTAACTGACTCATTCTGTTTTGTACATCAGAGACAATGTCCTGGTGGGTGGGATAAATTGTCTCATTTAAATCAGTCTGTTCTTTCATGAATTTATTCTTTCTTTCATCCACAACTTTCAATATTTCTGACACCTTATGACCTAGATGTTGATCAGATCCAATGCACTTATGGCAGACAGGAATGTCACATTGATTACAGTACATTTTACATCGTTCTTTATCATGGAATTTACAACCAGGGTAGAGGGGAGTGGATTTCCTGGCCAGAAATTTAACAACTTTGTGATCCTTGGATTCATCAGATATCATGTGTTTTCCTACACAAGTTGTACATAGGTTGACAAGACATGTATCACAGTGCATCTGTGCCACAGTGGTCTCACACAGGTCACATCGCATCACGTCCTGGGCACTGGTACGGGGGTCCATCATTAGACTTTGTGACTGAAGCCTATAAATTCAACATAAATGATCATACATTTTTTGACAGTACATTTTTTATGGACTCCAGAAACACAGTATGTCTGGGGCCATAGGGAAATACACAAGTCATCATATTACATAATACAAGATTCATTAAGTCTTTTGGGAATGAAATTTTAATCCCATAGTCATGATAGTTAAAGCCTATACTACTGGATTTCCAATGACTCTCAACTGTTATGCACAGAAATATTAAAAAATTTCTTACCTGACTTCAGTAATGGCGGTCGTCCTTAATCGATCTTCAAGTACATGTACTCTGATCACGTGACACACTTGTGTTATCTACCTGTCAGGTATTTTTACTTCCTGGTTTAGAGGGAGATTTAAATGCCTTCAACAACTGCTTGAAATGTAGGGGTTATATAGATCATCGCATGTTATGTTAAGGTAGTACGAGTGTGAAATCAAAGTAATGGAAAACAAATGATTTTGGTATTAATGGATACACATATGTTTAAGCAATGCATGATTATAATATAAAAAAAAAGAGTGTAGCCGTTTGTCCCCTAGCGGTTGCCAAACTAAGGGAGGTAACTCTGTGTGATATTTTCCTTAAAAATATAGTCCACACACCAACTTAAAAAAATAGGTCAAAGATTGTGTAAAATTTTGAAATGTTAATTTTTATTAAACAAGGAGCATCTGTTCTAAAATTCAATCAAGAAAAAAACTTTTTAACAAATTCTAAACTGTGCTCGCGGCGCCACCTATGACGTCTATTTTTTCTGCCCAAAATACATAAGTTGTGGATCTTAATCAAATTATAAAACATAGACAGAGTAATGGAATCAGAAAAAACAATCTATTTTATAAAATAAAACAACATTCAATCAATTTGTCCAAATTTCAGAAAAAAGAGTGGAGCCGTTTTGAAAATATTTAACCCGAATTTCCTCTGATCAGCTTTTTCTGCAAAATTCTTGTGTTTACGACTGCTCTTAATTTGTCTTTATTTTTAATTCAATAAAAACAACTAAAATGAAAAATGGACATGGTACAATATTCTATGAACTATATGTTACATGAACAATATTCATTTGTAAAATTTAAAAAAAAAGTTGTTTCATTAAATGTCCTCCATAATCCATCTATACTGTCCAATGATTCGAAACAATAAAATATGAGAAATATATGAATTGTTATCACATACTTTACAATATGCAGAGTAATGGAAATAAAAAATGCATAGGTTTTACATGAACTATAACAGCAATTAATTATTGTGTCCAAGTTTCAGAAAAAAAAGTGGAGCCATTTTGAAAATATTAAGCCCGAAATTCCTCTGATCGGCTTTTCTCTGCAAAATTTTCATGCTTACGACTTCTCTAAAATCAGTTACATTTCAATAAAAACAATCTAAATAAAAAATGAACATGGCACAATTTTATGACCTATAAATTACCTGAACAACATTCATTTGTAAAATAAAAAAAGAAATAAAGTTAATGTTTCACAGTGTACGACCTTACAATGCCAGCTATTATTGTCCATTGACTAACAATATGAGATGTGAGAAATATGAATCCTTGTCACATATGTTACTTCATGCAGAGTAATGGAAACAAAAAAAAGCATAGGTTTTACATGAAATATAACAATAATCAATCAATGAGTCCAAGTTTCAGAAAAAAGAGTGGAGCTATTTAGAAAATATTCAGCCCGTATTTCCTCTGAACATCTTTTCTCTGCAAAATTTTCATGTTTAACAATAAAATTATTCCAATAACATTTCCAAATTATACAATATGTATTGAAATGAATATTGTACAAATTCTATGAAATAATATTATACCTGAACTTTCATTACAAGTGTAACAGGAAAGGAGAAAATGCATGGCTGGACCGGGAATCGAACCCGGGACCCCTGTATCACTAGTCAGGTGCTCTACCGATTGAGCTATCCAGGCCGATATCCACGGCCCTAACCATTACATTCCTCCCTCCTTAAATGGTCTTCGCCCTCGAAGACACAACCCAAGTTCTTATTGCCCCTGGCAGGACTTTCACCTGCAAGTCCAGGGGAGGTCAACGGCACCAAATCTGTAACAGGAAAGGAGAAAATGCATGGCTGGACCGGGAATCGAACCCGGGACCCCTGTATCACTAGTCAGGTGCTCTACCGATTGAGCTATCCAGGCCGATATCCACGGCCCTAACCATTACACAAGCATATAAAACAATAATTTTATGTTGTCTTATGAGCTCAGACTGTTGTTTTATGAGCTCAGACAAAAATAATGGAAGAGTGTCTAGAAAACCATGAATCTGTGTGACATTTTTTCCCCATAATTTCACAAGACAGTATATCAATGCATGAAAAAAAAGTACAGGAACATCATAATTTCTTATATTTCGACCAAGTTCCACCACACTGTCATTGGTAGACAAAAAATCCATAAAGCTTGTAGGACCTGTCCTTATGTTTACTGCTTTCACCTCACTCTTTGTCATTGTGGAACAATTTCTTTCCCCCGGTCCTATAATTCCAGTTATCTCTTACTTTTGGATGAATTGGTGTCTTTGGTAGTTCATGTACATGTGAATATTTACTGTTTGAAGTGGTTTTCTCCATTGATGGCCAAAATTTGTAGTATATGTGTAGCATATGCTCAGGCTAAAATAAAATAAATTATATTAATTATATATTCAATTATTTAGGTAAACTTAACTAGAAGCGATATATGGTATAATAAACGTTATACTCCCCTACTAAATACCGGTACAACATATACATGTACAATACAAAAGAATACATACTAGTATAAGAGATGCATCACTCTCATTTAAAAATTATCCACTAAAGACTTGACTTTTTTAAAAGTAGGTCAAATTTTAAAATCAGTTCAATTAGTATGCCCCGGGTTAAAGTTTTTCCAAGAGTTAGTCAAATTTCATGATGAAGGTCAAAATTTTTACCCATAAAAAAAACCTCTCGTTGCTGGTATTTTGTCTTTATCATGAGAACTCCTCAACAGCACATCCAAAAGCCTGCAAAGTTCCTTCCCAAACTTCATTTATAGACGTATTCTGCTGCCTGTAAAACAACAAGGATATTTAAAGATTAACAAGTCCTTGAACAAGATATGTTTGTAAAACACTTATTGCTCACTCCCCCAGATAATTGAATTTTTTTCTAAGTCAAATGGAAAAAACTCTGTAAAAAAAAATCCCTGATCTTACCTACCCATATCAAACCTTGACCTAGATATTCTTATGATAAATCTGTATACCAAATTTCATTTCAATACATGCAACCTCTGCAGAGAAAATAAACCAAAAGACATACAGCTGTAAACAGACAGCTGCAAAGCAGTATGCCCTCCCTTGATTTAAGAAATGAATGTAATATTTTTTTCTTTGATCGATGTATCAAAGAAAGAATTTGGACGGAAAACTTCATCAATGCGCCCTCTGGGTATATTTTTCCCGGTAAGTTATCTTAGGTCGTAAATATAAAGGGAAGCCATTCAAATATCCTATCGGTCACAGAAATTTTGGATTTCATTTGCGCATCTTTCCATCTGAATTTCAAACCGAATATATGAATAAGTATCACAACATGTCAATGCTGTTAAACCTGAAAGAGTCTACTGTCGACTGTTCCAGATTAAAAGAATTTCGTCCTCATTCATGCAGTGTTGTTTTTCTCGATCATTCGTTTCCCACGATTTTTAAACAGATCTACGTTTTCCCCGCTTTGGTAGCATAATAAAACATTTTTTGAGAGTTCTATTGTTTCATACCAGACATCCCAAAGTCAAACATTTTAAGAAAAATATGCCGATTACACGATTTCTTTCCCAAAACTGCACTGTTGTTATGCAGACGATTTTAGCAAAGGGGGATAATTCAAAAAGAAACGAAAGTAGAAAATAAGTTGGGGACGTAACGGACAGGTTCCGAAATTCAGGAAAATATTTGTTAAAGTAAAAGTATTTAATTATGCCTCCAAGAAGTAACTTGGAAGCGGGAAATATACATGTAACGTTAGAGACTGCAAAAATAGTTCCGGCTGCTTAGTGCAAGCGAACCCTAGATTTTATTGATGCAGGTATCAAAAGAATTTTTAAACCAATCAGAATCAAGTATTTTGTAGAAATTAAATGATACTGATATCATACCCCTAACTGGGAAAAAAATCATTCCTATATGTACAATTATCAGTAATGAATTAAAATAAAGTATATTAAATTAACTAACACAGTGACTTTAAGTTTCTTGAAATTATTTAAATTCTGTAACAGTGGTCTGTAATAAAGTCCACTTAAAATTATCCCGGATTATCACGAGATACTAGATCTAGATCGTAAACAATAAAGAACAATAACGATTATTCAGATATGATAGATGACTTTGATTTATTTAATAAATAGTATTTTATTAATCAACAAATAACAAAACAATATTCAAGTAAACAATGAAATGCAAGGGAAATGTAGTCGAGTATTTACCTTTATAGATAGTTTCAGCACTTCAGCAATCGGAATTGACCAAATAATATTACGGTAACAATATAAATATGTAGATAAATAAATAAATTGGAGACAAACTCCTAAAAACGTCTAAGTCTGGTAGTTAAAAAGAACGAACTGATTAGGGACGCGGAACGGAAACGCCCGGATCCCAGACGGTGGCACCGGTTGTCAATGACAACCGCGCACCCCATCCAAGATCCAAGAGAGATAACTCTAATTAAAATATACGACTCCACTACGTACATTCCCCCCACCTTAAGACCTTATGTCGAAGACATAAGTCTCAAGATATAAAGTATGCATGACTATATCATCAATATATTAAATAACAAATATGCAAATAAATACATCACTCAAGTCTCTCTCTCAAAAATATGAAGAGTACATTTGTAATTATACATAATGGATACATACTGCATATATACTCAGATACTCGCTCAAATAGTTAAAACAATCAACAATTTAAATTAATCCACAACAACATTATATTACAAAACAACAGATATCTATGTAATAAATTATTATTATCACATAAGGTTAAACTCTATAACAATATGCACAATGACAAATGTCATATCTCTGTATCAGCAATCAACACATTGTGACATATAATACACATACTTGTATAGTATTTATCTGTACATATATATTCAGGTATACATACAATAGAAAATAATACTAATCACAACATTGTCTTTAAATTTTTTCAGTTCAAATTTAAATTCAAATAACAAATAAATAATTTGTTAAAACTATAACTATAGTTCTCGACACAACCTCGTGCAAACTGTCCATGCACATATAGACACGGTACGACTGTCTAAATCGGAATCACCGGAAATAAAGTCACTGACACACTGGCGGAATTAAGGCGTGAATAACGTAAAATGTGGAACGAGAAAAGTCCGGCCAACATCAAGGTAAATATGAAATATAAATATGAAATGATAATGCAATGAGAATATATAATGGATTCTCCGATAGCTCACTGTACATGTATATATATATAATTTCAGGACAACACAGGAAGAAAAATATGAAGATGGACATGAAAATGGAATAATGAAAACATGAAGATGATGATGAATGACAAATGGTAAGATAAGTTGAGGTGACATACATATATAAAAACAAAAACCAACATTTATTCTTCAAAAATCCTGTAAGGCTCTAGAACAACTTTTTTACCAAGACGGTTAGACAAGCTAGTACTATTTCTCCTATAACAATTCAAACTGCCGTTCGCACTCTCAACCATCTCCAAACGCTCATCTCTAGAAAAATATGCATTTTCACGCTCACTCTCACCCCTTTTCAAACTGTCGATCTCACTCCTCGGTCTCCTGTTCTCTCTCTCTAACTCTCGTCTCAACTCTCTCTCACGCAAAAGCTCACTCCTCTCATTCAATCTTGCATTAGCTATTTCTTTTAATTTAATTAAACGATCAATTTCAACATCAATATTGAATACAAACTGTTCAAGATCTGTTTTCTCCACAGGGACGGAATGTAAGGAAAGGAATGCGTAATCCTCGGTCTGGCTCGCGGTCGCGGCTGTAGTGTGTACAGGAGGAACGTCTGGCTGAGCAACTGGCGGACACGAAGGAATTTCAGATGACCCGAACTTGAAAGGCAAAGTGGATGGCAAGGTCTCAGACGACACAACGGATGGTGTAACATCGTATGAAGGCAGCAATGGAGCAAAGATGGATGGCTGAACTGATGAAATGATAGCGGATGATGATGTGGTGGATGGCAGACAGGATGAACTGATGGTAGAGGAACTTGCGGAAGAAGCAGATGAGGTCGCAGGTGCCTGTGGCGGAGCAGATGCCAGGGTGCTGGTGGTCGGTGCAACTGGGAGACGAGAAACAAATTTCAGACTACCCGGATCAATGTAATTACTATTTGGTGAGTTCATGTCGACACAGCTGGAGATGATTTTCTAGAGGCAGCTGGGACAAGTGATGAATACTGCGGAGGTGGAAACGCATATCTGTCTTTCTCTTGCAAGTAGATTTACATCCTGGGATGGAACAATGGAAAATAACATGATGGGGCTTGTGCTTCGTCTCCCAGTGCCTGGCATAACTCTTCCTGGTGGTAAAGGAGGTAAAGCCACAGGACACTACAGGACAATTCATTCCGGAATGGAACTCAAAGGGGCAGGATGAAGATTCCAGAAGTTCCGCAAGATCCTCATCGTGGACCAAAAGGTCAAGGACATCAGTGTCCATAATTGACATGACTATATAAAGTGGTGGTGATGAAAACGATGATAAGGATGGGATCAAACGATGATGATAATGATGATGATGATGAAAATGTTGTAAGGATGATCCAAATGAAACTGTAAATAAATAAACACATAGTTTGAGGATATAGCAAACATGTTGCTTACCATGTTAAGTATATGTTAACACTAATAAAGTGTATTGTATATTTTCTTTAACAAAATTTTCTGTGAACAAAATGTATAACCCCAAAGGAAAAATCTATGAATGGCATACACTCAGACCTTTCTAACATTTCACAATGACAACAGGTCATATATTTTACTCAATGTCGAGAATATATCTTGTCTCTTCTCATCAATCAGTTCCTATTTGTAGGTAACTAACTAGTATGTATACAATAACAGTAACTAGTCAGTATACAATAACTGTAACTATTCAGTATGCAATAACTGTATAATTATGTAGGCATCAAGCTATTTAGTATACAATAACTGTAAAAAAGCAAACCTATGTTCAAACAAATATAGCAAATATTATGTAGATATAAGCACACAGATTGCAATAATCTGATCACTATGCTACACTGAAATATATCAGTCATGACTCAGGTACTATGACCTACTGTACTTCGAAACAATAACTTGAATTACTCCATGCATGAATACAATATCATGTACATGAGTATACTTGTAACTATTTATACATGTACCCTTGTTTACAAAAACGACCTCAAAGGGTGAGTGTATGAATTCATATATCTTAACTTTAAGTTATAATTTCTTCGAGTGATTAGTCTCAAAGACTCAATTTTCCATCTCTGTATTATCACATAACAAATAATGAGGGTGAAGATGAGAAATGTATATGCCATGATAAAATGATATGTTAGTATAACAATAATCAACTGAAAATTTAATGCAATTCACATGCAAGTGCCTAGTTATGTACACTGTAATTTATGGTGAAAAACGAGTGGGAGGTTTAATTCTACGACCATGTCTTGTGTGTTGGGAACATTCCCTGTAGGATTCTTGTTCGTTTGTCATAATTTCTTGTGATTCACTACTCGAGTCATACTCGGTCTGTACCTCAAAGGTATTGTAAAACTCATAATTTGATAAATCTGACTCTTCCGACAAATAGGGTTTAAGGTGGTCAACATGAACCACAACTAAAACATCTGTATTACAACACTGTATTTGATATGTGACATTACTGATTTTCCTTTTGACTTTATATGGACCACGCCATCTTAACCCTAATTTTTGCTTTGCCCAAGGAGGATACCACCTCCAAACTAGGTCACCTTCATTGAAAGTTCTGTGTTTTATATTCTGATCATGATATTTTTTCTGACGCTTAAAACTACCTTCAAGACTTTCTCCAGCATGCTGAAATGCAGAAGACATAGCTTCTTTTACAAATTCAATGTATTCATTGATGCATGATTCTTCATGATTTGGTGGGTTACCAGCAATTATGTCAATAGGGAAGTCTATTTCACGTCCTAACATTAATAAATTTGGAGAACATTTTGTACTTTCATGAAGAGAGGCACGATAGGCCATCATAACATAGGGCAGATGGTCATCCCAGTCATTTCTATGTTTATTGAAAAATAAGGAAAGCATTTGCTGTAAGGTACGATTAAATCGTTCCACCATGCCATCTGATTGAGGCCGGTAAGGAGTAGTTCGGGTTTTATATATGTCAAATTTTTCACATAATTCAGAAAACAATTGAGACTCAAATTCTCTGCCTTGATCAGTGTGAATACGGTATGGGGTACCATAGCGACATATAAATTCGTTTATTAGGACATCTGCAACTGTCTGTGCAGTATGGTCTTGTAGAGCAAAAGCTTCTTTCCATTTGGTAAAATAATCGCCTATGACCATTATATACTCATTATGTTTTTCTGTCATGGGTAAAGGGCCCATTATATCAATGGCAATGCATTGTAATGGTCGATATGCGGGGCAATGCTGCATCGGGGATTTGCCTGGACCTGGTCCTGGTTTACGCCGTGCACACACAGTGCAATTTTGACACCATCTCTCTACATCAGATGACATACCAGGCCAGTAAAATCTAGCGCGTATAGAAGCTAAAGTTTTGTCGCGACCCAAATGTCCCGCTACACGTTGATTGTGTAATTGATACATAATCTCTTTTCTTATGGACTTGGGTACCACTAATAATAATTTATGGATATTTTCCGGAATACTGAACCATTGACGATATAAAATACCATCTTTTGATACAAGAGTATCTTTCAAATTCCATAATTGTCGAATTTCAGGATTGGTCCTATAAACCGGATCTAAAACATTTGTACCGCTATTTATAATTTCACTCATTGTTTTAGAGAAGGGTCATTTTGTTGAAGTTTTGACACATAGTCATCAGACCACTTATCTAACCAGTTAGTTGTTACGTCGCGAGTCTTATAATTTGATTTTTTAGACTGTATCGCATTTACAGTAGAAATGGTGCATTCGCAGTTTTCTTGACGGCATCTACGTCTGGGCTTTCTAGACATAGCATCCGCATTTATGTGCAAAGAGCCTTTACGGTGCTGTATCTCAAAATCATAAGTATCAAGCACTGATATCCATCTGGCTATCATACCCTCGGGTTCCTTAAAATTACGAAGCCATTTTAAGGACGAATGGTCAGTACGAAGTAAAAACTTTCTACCCCATAGGTAGTGTTTGAATTGTTTAACAAAAACGACTACTGCTAGCAACTCCCGATAGGTCGTACAATAACGGCGTTGGGTTTTAGATAATGTTTTGCTGCCGTACGCAATGACTCTTTCTTCGCCGTTTTGAATTTGTGAAAGTACGGCGCCAATTCCGTCGTTCGAAGCGTCCGTATCGAGTATGAATGTATCATGACAATTTGGGTATGACAATACTGGGGATGAAATCAAAAGTTTCTTAAGTGTTTGAAATGCCTTTTCATTGGAACTATTCCATGTAAATGGAACATCTTTTTGAGTCAAACGAGTGAGTGGATATGCCACTGTAGCAAACTCAGGAATAAATTTCCTATAATATGAGGCTAGACCTAAGAAACTTTTTATTTCTGTGACATTTTCGGGGGTTTTCCAGTCTTGAACTGCACAAATCTTTTTAGGGTCACACTTCACACCATCTTTTGACACAACGTGTCCTAAGAAGGATACTTCTTCACGAAATAAAATACATTTTTTAGGTTTAAGTTTAAGATTTGCGTCCCTGAATCGGTCAAAAACTCTTGTCAAATTTGATAACGTTTCTGTGAAAGTTTTTCCGAAAACAATCACATCGTCTAGGTAAACTAAACAACGTTCCCATTGTAAACTATGTAATATTAATTCCATTAATCTTTCAAATGTCGCAGGACTATTTGTTAAGCCAAAAGGCATGACCTTGAACTGGTAAAGTCCTTTATGAGTCGCAAACGCAGTTTTTACTTTATCGTTTTCGTTCATTGCCACCTGCCAGTACCCACTAGCCATATCAAGTGTACAAAAGTACATTGAGCCTGACAGTGCATCTATTGACTCATCAATTCTGGGTAGGGGATACGCATCTTTGACGGTTTTATGATTTAATTTACGGTAATCGACACAAAATCGAGTACTTCCGTCTTTCTTTTTTACCAAAACTATGGGAGATGCCCATGGAGAAAAACTTGGTTCAATAACGTCTTGTTCGAGCATATTTTGTATTTCATTTTCAGCTATTTCTCGCTGAGCTAAAGGTAATCTTCGTGGGGGTAATTTGATTGGTTTATTATTACCAGTGTCTATTGAATTAGTAACTTTGGTAGTACGACCTAGTTTTCCATCTGAACCCACGAACACGTCAGTATATCGGTATAAAACCGAAATTAGTTCATTTTTCTCGTTTTCTGTAAGTTCAGACGAAACGTTGTCTAACATGATTTTTAAATGATCAGGTAAACATTCAGTTTTCTGAGTTTCATTACACTCTAATTGTTCTAAATTATCAACCAAATCGGTTGCAGTTGTTATACCTTGAATGGTCGCCACTTGAGTGTTTTTCTTTATTTGGACAGGTTCTGGGTTAAGATTTAATATTGAGAAAAGGACCTTGCCATCACTGACATTTACTAGGGACTTTGGAACACATATTTCCTGACCTAAACTATCACCAGAGTGAGGTTCAACTAAACCTTCTAAGCTCTTAAAACGTGAATTTCCTAAATCACCCTCTACAAAAATTTCAGAGGAACCAGGAATGACTATATCTTTTGCGAGATAAACCCGCGCACAAGCAACATTATCTTCACTCACTGGCTGGACTTGAAAATCAGGAAAGATCAATATACCTTCTCCGAGATCGAATAAAACATCATTTTTAGACAAGAAATCTAAACCTAATATTCCCGAAAGATCACCTAATTCTGCCACTATTACGGGTATATTAAACTCTTTCTTTCCCAAACCCAAAGTAATTTCAGTTTGACCATAGACTTGTAATGGTTCCCCATCTGCAGTTTTAAGTTCGGTAGACACTTTTTGTAAGTGTTGGTCACAAAGACCTAGATTTCCTAAAATATCTTTTGAAATGAGTGAAACGGCAGACCCTGTATCAATCAACATTTGCATACATAATGACTTTATTAAAACATTAGCAA